GGCTAATTCATTTTTTGATGATTTTGGTTTCTATGAACGTTAAGTCCAAAATTATCGAAAATAGATCAACCATCCTTGAGGTATCGGATCTGATATGCACTGAGGTGGCCAATCATATTCGATTGGAGGCCATTACGCAATCGAATCTCTTGCGTAATCATTTTCATAAAAAGCTATAAAAGCGAAACTAAATAACGGTTCGAATGTAAATACCGTTCCCGTAATAATGGACAGATTTCAAAGATTTCTCGGCGCAGCAACAGCGGGTCAGACCCCCGTAATGGACACACCAACCGTTGATAATGCGGAAATGGTTTATATTTCTTCTTTGGCATTGCTTAAGGCAAGTTTGAAGGTTACGATTTAATAAAAAGTTTATGTCAGCATATAATCAGTATAATGCTGTCATAAAATTGGACCAAGCACGAAATTTATATATTAACCTTGTTAATTAAATATAATTTGTATCGATCATATATTTTGTTCCAATACTTAATATAGATGTTAAAGCATGGTAAGAAATTTAATAATACTTGTATTACTTTCCATGATTTTTATTAACAGATGCATTTAATCAAAAAATTAGGTCGTGCTGGGGTACCAATGGAAGTTATGGGCCTGATGCTTGGAGAATTCGTGGATGATTATACTGTACGGGTAATAGACGTGTTCGCTATGCCTCAAAGTGGTACTGGTGTTTCTGTAGAAGCTGTAGATCCAGTTTTTCAAACAAAGATGTTGGATATGTTGAAGCAAACGGGACGGTACAAATATTGTGATACTATTTTTATAAATTCATTTTTACGAAATGATGAATAATTTATAATGATTTATTTTTTAGCCCAGAAATGGTTGTTGGTTGGTATCACTCCCATCCTGGATTTGGTTGTTGGCTTTCTAGTGTTGATATTAACACCCAACAGGTATGTGAATGATAATACCTGACCGGTAATTAATTAATCGTCCTAAATATTGTATTTAATGTTTAGAGTTTTGAACAATTGAATCAACGGGCTGTGGCTGTTGTAGTTGATCCCATCCAATCTGTTAAAGGAAAAGTTGTTATTGATGCTTTTCGTCTCATTAATCCTCAAA